AAGCACAAGCATATTTTTTTATGAGTTATTAAATAAAAATCTTATTGTAAATAAATGTGATTACTACTTTTTAGATTTAACATTAAGGTATTCAGTACCTAACGCATCACATTTACCGTATGCCGACTATACCAACTATATATAGTTTGTAAAATTCCAAAATTTCAAATTTAATTTAAATCTTTTCTCTGAAAACTGTCGAGCATGAAATTAATAATTAATATTTTATGTATTAATTTTGAGTGCATTAGTTGTTTATATTTTAAGCTATTCAAGAATATTTAAAATTTAAAATTTTCTTATTTAATTTCCTTTAGATATTCAATAATCAGCTGAGCGACTAACCCAGCTTTATAAAATAATTTGATGTCTGTTTTTTAGATACAACTATAATATAATGTAATCTTAATATATAATAGGAAAATGAAATATATATAACACTAAATTAATAGTGTCCTGTAACTGCTAACTTTGGATTTAAAAAAAATTATAGGTTATAAAATAAAATTGTGTCTTATGGGTAATCACTTATAACGGGTATTTCTAAATTAAACCTTATAATGAATGTCTATTTAAAGTACTTAAAAATAGGTTATAATTATAAAATTACCCTACCATCAGGGAGCAGAAAATCGACAACGACGAGTGGCGTTTGTACATTATTTGATCTCTCGTATTTTATGAATTTGCTCTCAGAAATAAAATATGTGTGCGCTTGGGGTAGCATATTTTTCATTAAATTAAATTGTTATTTAAAAAATAAATTTAAGCACCAAAAAAGTATGAAACCAAAATTAATTACTTTAATCTTCGACGCTTTCGGGCTTCGGCGGAATTTCTGATATTGTGTGTGCACTGCGGAATAAATCAGATATAAGGCTGAACTTAAGTCTGAAAATATTGAGATTTATTATGAAAAAAAACCGTACGGATCACTTCGTGTTTCTTGTTCATGTCTGCAGCTTTGCTAACTGAAATTTTAGATCGTTTGCGTCTTTGCAACTACTTCGACAATCGCCACGGATTGCATTATAATTTATACTACGTCAATATGATAAAACCACAGATATATAGTATATTACAAAATTGTATATCAAGGAGGTCCGTGCTTTAGATTTGATAATTAAGATAATGAAATGAGGTATGACGATAACCAAAATAGTTTATAACTTTAAAATTTAAAATACAACAATATATAAAGTACCTATTATTTTAATAATTAATTAAGGTGGTGTTTAAATATTCGAAGCACAAGCATATTTTTTTATGAGTTATTAAATAAAAATCTTATTGTAAATAAATGGATTACTACTTTTTAGATTTAACATAAAGGTATTCAGTGCCCAATGCATCACATTTACCGTACATCGACTATACCAACCATAGTTTGTAAAATTCCCAGTTAAATCTTTTCTCTGAATACTGTCGAGCACGAAATTAATAATTAATATTTTATGTAGGTATTCATTTTGAGTGCATTGGTTAGGTACATTTTAAGCTATTCGAGATTATTTAAAATTTCCTTATTTAATTTCCGATAGATATTCCATAATCAGCAGAGCGACTTTCCCAGCTTTATAAAATAATTTGATGTTTGATGTACGACGGCGTCACTATAATTCGCGGTTCGACCACAAGCAGACGGCATAGTAATATTCATATATTTCTCAACATTTATATAAACTAAAAATAAAAATTGTTGAATTTTGCGGGACATAAGAACTCCCGTGTACTGTACTAGTGTAGTATGACTAGTATGTACAACACCATTTATATATCTATTTAATTGTATAAATATGTTATTATTCTGCGACCTGGATATTCCGTTGTCGTTTGTGCTATAAGCGTATTTGTTTGTGTGGCGAGCTCGGGAACAAAAAATATGCCCCTACTTTACCCGGGTTGCAAATTGTCTATGATAATAAATTTTTATTTTGAGACTAAAAAGTAAAATATGTAAGCCCTTAAAGAATAGGTTATCAAACTTACGTATACTCTTTGTATATCGACTGTTCGGGGAATATGTAGCTGCAAGGACATAATCTTGAGTGCAGACGCCATATCGAGGAACTTCTTTCTTCATCTAAACCCGAACTGAAAAAATCGAGATTTTTTATAAAAATTACTTGAGTATAATGAAATATGTTAGCAAATGTTTATTGTTGCCTTACACATTTCTCTTTTGTTCAATGAAATTATTATAATTGTGAATCGTCTCCGACGAGTGATGACGATCGGCTTTTGCCATAGATGATAGATATAATATAATATGTTGTTATCAGTTTTCGAGTTTTTGAATTCTTTGGATGATACGATACATTTTTTATTTCAGATTCCGAAACATAATATTATTCGGAGTGTTTAAATCTAAACAATTCAGAACACGGAACTCTGCGTATAGGCCATTATACACTATACTGTCGCGCGAGTCCATTTTTTTGTCCGGCATCTCATAATATTGTTTTTAGTCTAAACGATTAAACTATAACTTAATATAAAACTCTAGAAGTGTTAAGACACGAACAAATTCAAAATTAGGGTTTGAAATGTACAGAATGTTGGGCTTTCCTAAGGACTATCGATAACTGACCTTACAAGTACATTTTCCTTAGAGACTTTAAGCACAATAAATAGTCTTCTAGACCAATTTAACCGGTGTTATTGCAACAAAGCCACTAAACTTGGCAGAAATATATCCACCGTATGTATACCTATACACTGGGGAATATCAGGTAATAAAATATTTGACGAACCAGCCTCAATTGTCATTTTCAATACGTACACCTCTCCAATTAAATAAATATCAATGAGACCATAAAAAATAAACGTAAAGCATCTGTAGCAAACTAGTAACTACAAACAGAATACCTAACTTGATGAAATTACAACAGCAACTGAAGGTAACTGGTAAGGAGAAACCAGAGTTTATAGGTTCTTCAAATGCACCATTTTTTAAGTTGAAGTGCGTTGGTACTTGGCCATTACGTTCAGGCGTATAACGTATTATAGTCAATAGTCGTGACGAAATAAATCGTGTTTATTAATTTTTATTAATTTTGTGGTGATTATTGAAGATATATTATAACGGATACTATCTGCTGGTATGAAAATTATACAGCTGGAGGGATATAACTATGTAAGTCATTGACATACCGTCTGTAGGTAAACATCAGTATACATTACAATATGTCGATATATTATTATGAAATTTATTTAGGAAGTAGATATATTATCTTAAATTATGGTAAACTTATTGATATTGAACTTATGGATGCGGCATATTGTAAGATCTATAAAGATTAAGATTTTCAAGGAAATAAATAAGGAGATTATCGATACATATCGGGTCAATTTTGAGTGTTTAAGAAGTTACACGTGCAATATACAAGCGATGCTTGCCTGTATCAGACTCGGACTTTGATACGAGTCGCAGTGGCGAATTTAAGGCCCCCCCCCCTTGGCATAAGTTTGGTTTTATTTATTCAATAGTGTTTATTTTAATTTTTACAATCTTATTCTTTATATTGTTTCGTTCAAATACATTACATAAGAAATTCTCCCAAACACATTACTTTTATTTGGAAGACATGACAGTTAATACAGATGGAAATATACATTCAAAATGTAACGGACTTCTTCATTAAATTGACTTTTGAATTTATTTGGCCTTCGAAGTAGCAGTAGAAATATTGTCCTCGACTTTGCCAATATCTCGTAAATTACAAGACTCTGGTTTGGATTTGACTAAATGTATTGAAATCATACAGACTGTACTAGATGTTCTTAAAAACAAATAACAAAATGCAACATTTAATAACATTTTTAATCGAGCCGTATCAAAAGCCGAAAATTTAAATATTGAAGTTAAGACACCACGAATATGCAAACGACAAATAAATCGATCAAACAACATTACTTCAAGTCCTGAAGAATATTTTAAAATAATGGTATACTAGACAGTTTTGGATAATTTCATAACATCTATTCAATCCATGTTTTTAGACAACCAAAGTTCAATATTATTTAAAATCCAACAACTGATACCAGTGATACCTTAGGTATATTTACATAATAAATCTGAAGAACATATTATAGAAGGACAGAAGGTGCCACTTTTTATGAAACAGATTTGCCGGGATCCAAAGACGAATTAAAAGGTAAAAACAATTATTATGATTAATCACTGACAACTTTTTAAAATAAATTATTAATGTATAATTACAATTTACAGGTGAAATTGCATTGTGGCAGCTGCATAGGCGCAAATAGAGTGGGGCTTGGGGGGCTAAGCCCCCCCAATATTTACTCTAATATTAAAATTTAATGTCCCTATTAATAATCAAATGTTGTTTTCGATTACTAACTATGACTATAAAAGTGTAGAATATGGTTAATATATTTTTTTTTACATTTTAATTATAGATTAATTGATTTATGAAACATTGAGAACATAAATATCGCGCGATATTTCGAAAACAGTCATGTGCAAATGTGCAATGTGCATCATGACTTTATCGGTCATAGAAGTATTTATTTTTATAAACACTAAATCTAATATTAATTTATAATGTATTTATATTAATAAATTGTGCTAAACAATGTTATTGAATGTTTGAATCTACTTTTTATTTACCGTATACTTTTGAAAATTAATTTGTAAATAATAACGTTTAGGATTTATTCGGTGTTTCCAAAAATTCTTTAAGATCAGAAATGATGGTTATCGAAAATGTCTTGAAAATTAATGTTGATTTGGAAGTTCTGCAAAATCACTTAAACTCATTGAATAGCNTGAATCTACTTTTTATTTACCGTATACTTTTGAAAATTAATTTGTAAATAATAACTTTTAGGATTTATTCGGTGTTTCCAAAGATTCTTTAAGATCAGAAATGATGGTTATCAAAAATGTCTTGAAAGTTAATGTTGATTTGGAAGTTCTGCAAAATCACTTAACTCATTGAATAGCAAACAAATCTTTCCAAATTATTATAAATTATTTAATGTAGCAATAACTTTGCCAATCAATTCCGCTACTTGTGAAAGGTCATTTTCCGCAATGAGGAGGTTGAAAACATGGATGTGATCAACGATTCTCTAAGAAAGATTTAGCAGTTTAGGGATAATTAATATTGAAAAAGACATCAATATTGATAGCGTCTCAGTTTTAAATGACTTTGCCAAATCCAACAGAAGAATCAATTTAATATTGTAACCAATTATCTAGTTAATAATAAATATAATATTATGTGCCTTAATAAGTAATAATTTTATACTCGTAGCTAATAAAAAAAAAAATAGTTATATTTTTATTTGGTGTGACGTGTGAAAGGGGGGGGGGATTTTTGTTGAATATATTAAAGGGCTTGAGCCCCCACCAATGTAATTTCCTATTTGCGCCTTTGGGCAGCTGTATTGGACTCAACAACTTGTAAAAAAGACAAACACATTTACTGCCATACATGCATTTAAAGAAACTGAAGATGGGTATTTTCCAAACATTCGTCAACTTTTACTCATTTTAGCAATATTACCAGTAACAACATCAACTGCAAGTGATCGGTCTTTCTCAACGCTAAAACGCATAAAAACATACTTGAGAACAACAATGGGGGGGGGACCATTTAAACGGGTTAGCTTAACATCCATAAACAAATTGATGTACAACCTGAAGAAGTATTAGACATGTTTTTAAAATCTAATCCTAGAAAATTACAATTATCTTGATCGTTATTAATTTCTTACAATATTATTATAATTTAAATATAATATTTAATAAATAAAAAAAATAAGAATTTAAGATTTGTGTTTTGGACTATGCCCCCCCCCCCCAACACACAAAAAAAATTAAATCCTGGATCCGTCAGTCGTCACTGACGAGTCGGTAAGTAAGTAGTAACCATATTGGTACGTATAAAATTATTTTTCATGATAATTTTGAATCTTTATAGATCTTGGGGACATTGTACAAAATTCTGTGCCGTAGCTAACACAAGTACTCAACTAAATACTAATATAATTGTTAAAATAAAAAAACATATTTACATAGGTTATAAGTATTATCTATTCCCTTTTCTTTGTTGTTTCTTTGTCGCTCGAAAGTTTTTGTGCAAGTGCGAACCGTCGTTTTGTTCTTCGTTATGTTGGCCTAAAAAGTAAAAGTACGTTTATCTACTGTTTAGTGAAGGTAGGAATGTCGTATCCACATCATAGACTAGGTATACAGTTGTAACACAAGAAATATACTATGGAGTCATGAGCGCCCATAGGTAACATTTTAGTGGGGGTCAAAATAAAAAATTTTGGTAATAAGGTAATATTGTGGTAATATTTATTGAGCTACAAGTTCATAATATTTTTTTCCAGGGGGGGGGGGCAAGTGCCCTGTATGGAGTTGTAATATGAGGTACCTAATATAGACTACAGAGACTCCGTTACATTTATACACACTAAACACACTATCCTATTTTTTACCTGTTCAAAACTTTAATAGGTCAATGCATTTATGCATACATCGCCCGTGTTCTTGTAGTTGAGACAAGTGTTTCTTTAATCTATTACCATATTGACTGAAGATTATCATTTATAATATTATTGTTCTATGATATTATATTGTTTAATATCAAGAATAATATTTTTTTATCTACTATCAAGAAAGTAAATACTTTGATAATAGCCATCAAGAATTGATATTTGACAAGGATATCCCAGGTACAATATAAATGATTATAGTACCTACTATTTACTATAGTTATAACTAGGACATTGGACAACTACTCTTAACTACATTGAATTCATCACAATATTATTCATTACTTATTAGTTATTATAGGTACTATGTACATAGTTACACATTTAACACATACATATTGTTCATTTAATTTATATTATCTTCTTACATTATTTAGTTTACCACTGTTCAAGTCTCCGTTTGTGTTTTTTCAAATATGAATGAAAATAATGTTTATGGTAAATCGTTTAAAACATACTTAAGTGATACTGATAGTTCTTCAACCCATTCATCATGTGAATGTAATGATGTCAACTCTAATGTGTAAGAAAATATATTTATCATAAAAATAAAATTGAATATCTATTATATGATATTTATTGTTACTCAAGTTCGGATTTTGAATGGGAAAATGAAATAAATGACCAGGGAGAGCTATTTTATGTTAAATGTTCACCTCGAAAACAGACTAAATATACCAAACATAATATTGTTGAATCGAATGATGCACCAAAAAAAACCAAAACCACTGCAGGAAAATTGGTTAAGCTTCTGAAGCGCAAGAAAAGAGGCAGAGACAGAAATGATGGTTCTAAACATACTGGAAATTCTAATAAAGTCACTTTCTTGGACACTCAAGTATGAACCTTAGCTCTTAGATAAAATAAAGATATGTGAATGTATGTATTATTTTATATCTTAATTCATAGGAAGGCGAGGTGAGAGAAGTCACTGTTGAAGTTGAGAATGATAGTTATAGTAATCTTGGAAGGAGAGCTACGTTGACCGAAAAGCTATTAGGCTTATCAACAACAGTTTTTGAAGATGGTTCGCGTATTATGGTAGCATCAATTATTCCAAATACTCCTGTCGATAACCAGCGATCTATAAAAATAGGTATTATTGTAATTTGGTACATATTTGAGTAAAAAATGTACCATTTTATCATATTATATTATGCATAGGAGATTGGCTTAAAATTATCAATGGTGAAATTGTCACGGCTAAAACTTTGGATCAAATTCTATCAAACATAACTCCACCAACTACTGTAATGTTATATGAAGTGTAATTCTAAATAATTATAATAAGCTCAATGATCTAATTTATCATACCATTAGGTTATGTTAGTTGTTCAAAGGGTGGCTGTTAGCTTAGTTGGCGTTGACAAACACAATAACCAACAGTTATCAAGTTATTTATCTTTGAAGACTATTAATGATGAATTTGTATTGGAACTTGCTAAATATCCTGTGGCTGCCATGTACCTGAAATCTGAAAATTCAAATGCTATTTATATGTACCCTGGTCCATCATCTATATTCAATCAAATTAAAGGAGCTTTTCAAACCATTAGCCATATTGTTCCACAAATCGTCAAAAACCAGACTAGAAGGTATAACAAAAAATTTAAAATTCCAACAATAACACATGTTTTAATTTGTATTATTTAATATTATAGTATATCAATGATATGTGATGATCAGCTAGTTCACTCAATATTTTTGTTTGAAGGACAAGGAACATTTATTTTTATTGCTCCAGATTCAAAGTAAATACTTAATGAAATGAATACTCACAACATATTTTAATATTTATAAATTAATTATGTTTGATTAGATTAAATTTAACCTATGCTGATTGGATGGCTTCTAACATAGTTAGAAATTTATGTTTCTGCTATGAAAATTTAAATAGGTATTTTTTTTTATCTACCCATACTCTTAAGTTCATTTGATTTTACTAAGTATAGAGTACATTAATTTTTTTTGTATTTTAGTTGCTTTTCAAATGAAGATAATCATTGTTCATTAGATAAATACTTTACAATTATCTTCTCGGAGTTATATGATATCAATATGTTTCATAATATAGAAAATTCTCATGAGTTTGAAAAATATTTACCTGCCTCTAAGAGTATTCCTTTGCCAAGAAGTATTCAAGTAAATATAAACTTTTTTTTATATCTGAATATGTCTTTTTTATTATTTATTTTTAGATGGAACTCGATGATATATTAAACGAATTTGAGGCGAATTATGTAGTATGTATATTTTATACACAGTTAATTATTTAAGATATATTTATTTTTGTGATTTTTTATCTAAACTAGTGTGAAGACACCAGGGAACCAAGACCGTACTTGATCATTGGTACATCAATTTATTATAAGGTAATTCATTAGGACATTAAAATTGCATTAGTTTAACTATCATACTTCATCATAGGAATACTTGTTGTCGTCTCACTTGAATTATGAAGATCATTTAGATATTCACATGTTTTGCTTACAAAATGGATTGTTTCATCTACTTAACTCAGAATATCTAGAACGTTTAATAATATTTCAAAGAGTATATCCTTCATCAATTAGATCAAACAGTACATTTGTTGGCTCTGTGTATACACTGCCAAAAGCTAAATGGTATTTGTTAATAGTCGGACGTGGAAATAATCTTATGGCGACACTTCTTGAAGTTGGTCCTTGTTGTTCAAAGTAAAAATTTTTATTGTTTTGGTACATTTAAGGTTGTATTGTATTTTTGTTTTTGATGTAGAAATGAAGTATTTGATGGACCCAATGTGGAATATGTGGAAGAGGCTGAAGATACATTAGAAAGTGTTCTTAATATGAATGTTGATGAAGTTGCAGAAAAATGGTACTATATAATTCTATATAATACAGTATTGCAATAACATTCAACCCCTTCATTAGTCTATCTATGGTTAAAATAACTGCTACAAATACGCAGTCGTATAACTTGCATTTAGTGACATGTGCTAAATAAATAACATTTTACCCTTGTACACTCTAAGCTAATGAGTAATGACTCCCCAAAATTCTATTTGGCCAGAATTGTTAAATAACAGTATAATACGCCATGGCAATAAATAACAAAATTTTACTTTGCCTCATCTAAATTACAATTTGTCTTATATAATACGTTCATAAACCACTGAGTCCATTTTGAATTCTGAAATTTTCAGGAATGCTACATAGTAATATACTGTAAGCGATTAATGGTGGGTTAAAGTTTTGGACAATAATATAATTTGGTTTAAATTGTAAACCTTAGGACTTAAAGCTATAAAACAACATTAATAGCCTATGAGTTCCAACATTAGTCATACATTTATAATAAGCAATATCATAATTGTTGACAACATATAAGTATTGGAAAATTCAAACTTTTTTTAAAATAAGACTACAAACATCAGTGATAATAAAAATCTAAATCTGAGTTAGAACAATATAACTTCAATATGTAACCCCCAGTTGTAACGGTTTTAATAAATAAATATACATAATGTCCTAATAATTTATATTTATTTTGTAGGATTGAAGGCAATATAATGCAAATATACCAAACAGAATCATTAAAAAATGCAGGATTAAACATACTTGCAAATAATAAGCAGTCGAATGGTAATATATTATTTTTAATTTTTGATTTAGGTTATAATAAATAAATGAAAATTTTAGGTTTGCAATTAAAAAAACCAGAAATAATTTCTATATTAAAACACAAAAATGACATTACATCAAATTCACAGTCATTTAATGGTAAGTATACAACACAGATTAATTGAAACATCATATTGAATCAGTTATTCAAAATTATTTTTAAACAGATTCTAGGCAGTTGGATTCATGCTCAGAAACAAGTTTAACAAGTAGTGGAGCGCCAAGCACAGAAGACAGCATGTATGTGCAAGGTCCAGTGTTTGGTCGTCGAGCTGAACGTATGATGAAGGCTTCATCAATTGAGTGGTCTGATAATTCTGAAGATGAATATACCGTTTCAGTAATATTATAAATGTTTTTAATAGTGAATACCGAATACTCAAAATATTAATAAGTATTTTTTTTTTTTAATTGTAGGATGGCTCACGGTCAATAGATATGACCGATGTTATAAAGAATTTGCCAGTATTACCAAATAAGTAAATGGTTTAAATTATTGATTGATTAATAATTAATTCAATTAAATATAAAAATAATTTTCAGATTCGGTTTAGGTAAATTAAGTATGCTGTTTCGTTATCTTGACATTAACTGTCACACTGGTGTTATGCTATGTTCACCATCAATATATAATGAACATAATTTAAAAACCAAAGACATATTTAAAAATATTGATGAAAAATTTAATTCAAGTGTTACTGTAATACGAAATTTATTCGAAGATTCAAATCAGGTATAAATGCTAAAAAAATTAATTTATTAAAATCTTAATTCTTCTGTTTGTGTTTGTCACTGATCTCCTAAACGGTGTTGATGAAATTATTTGTGTTTGAGTGGTTTCCTGGATGGTTTTTTAGACAAGTAAATTATTTTTTGTTTATAAATAGTTGCTATTTGTTACAACTTAAAAAGATAATACCAGAATAATGAAGAGAAATAAGTTATTTTTTTGTACATAAATGGTTACCATTAATTATTCGAGCAGATGAGGTAAAAATTGCATTAATATGTTGAGTTTGTTAGAAAGAAATTATATTTTAAAACAAATATGAGGGTTAAATGTATGTTTGTAGCTCATATAGGTGTACTCGAAAACTACTTAGCCGATTTTGTGAACATTTCTTATTGTTTTTGGAGATATCAGGAAAGTTTAGAGAGCAGTTTGATTGAACCATGTTCGATTTATACCCAGTGCCATATCTAATCCGCCACAGGTGAATTGTCTAAGTTGAATTAGCTCACAAATCAAGGTATAGCAAAACCAAGATACATCTACATAGCCACTATGTTTTATATTCTTTGACGTCCAGTCTAGCTATAAATGGATGTTGGTTCATCCAAAATTATTACTCAAAAACTACTGGAAAATTTACAATA